TCTTTTCCTTCTCTTCCATCTCTCAGTGGTAGCCTTCACATGTAGACTAGGGTTTAGGTTGGTGGCACCAGAAAGACATACGCTTCGATTAACTACAGCAGAGGGGTTCAGAGGGACAGGAATCTGACTATTCCCAGGAGGCAGTTGTTGCAACTGTCTTCCTGAGGTCGACCCGCGATCTTTTGCAGCGTCGCTAAGCCTCTTGCCTCCCGCCCTGGTTACTACCAGGGATGGAGAGGTTTGCAGCTGAGGTGAGGCCTTACCTGAGATGTTCCTGGTACCAGATCTGGTTAGGACCCGGTTATTACTCACTTCCGCAGATGATTGGGAGGGGAAAAAATGAGTTGGACACATATGGTTGTATCAAGTAAAACGTAGAAAAGCAATGACGGATAAAGTAGTTGTCAACCTTACCAAGGACTGCCCGGTTGTACGACAGGAAAGAATGCCCAAAGCTTCCCTCGGGTCCAAGGTGTGTGATCAAATGAGATAAGTTGCGCCGCAGTTGCTGCAACCTGAGCTATAGCAGTTGATCGAGGCAGTTAGACCTACCAAGCAGTTGTTCGTTTGGAGAGTGATAGTATTGACCGACTGAGAACTGTACGTTCTGTAGTGAAACGTTTTTGCAGTAAAACTGCAACTTTCGTAGCGGAAATATCCGGTTGTGGAGGCTAATATATGGTTATTTCCGGGTAGAATGCAGACGAGACAAAACACGTCAGTATTCAAAGAGTGTTCGTTGATAACTGATAGTTTTTGACCTCTCACGTCTGGTTCTCAGGGCTTGGTTCGAGTTGTTCGGTTCACTCCTGCAGTGGACGAGGAGGTCCCCTCTGTTTCCTTGCGTTTAGCTTCCGCGAGATGGATGTTTTATGGCTAGTGAGTTGTATTTGTAGCGTGATTGGGGAACTGCAGGTTTCTGGGAAGGTTAGGGGACCTTCATGACTCCTGTCCGTGTAGGTACCTGAAAGAGAATGGTAAGTTATCGGCAACGAATGAAAAGAATGAGGAAAAAAGGTAAAAGGAAGAGGAAAGGGAAAATAAAAAAGGGGGGTTAAAGTAAAGAAACAAAAGGGGGAAGTGTATGCGGGAGTTGCACGAAAAGCACAAGTAGATAGCGCAGGTCTACTTTCTAGAGGAAAATTCGTGGGTAATGTGGGTGTATCAGGAAGGAAGGTGGTGAGGGGCGGGTAGAAGGGAGGAGAGGGTTGACTAGTGAGGTCGGTGACGCCCTAGATACGTCCGTAGCAGACCATGAGAGGCGATATAACTGACTAACCGTCTCTTGAATGGGTCGACTGAGGGGGCTATGACAACGTCGCGTAGGGCATCCCATAAAGCGCGTACTCTCAGGGAGAAAAAATCAGAGCTAAGTATGGCGTTGGCCCCCTGATATCCTATCTTAATGGGGTTTCCTCTTGATGACTACTGTGTTGCAGGCAAGGCTAACTTGTCTCCGTGGTTTGCCTGATGGACGGTCTTGTAAGCCATAATAAGGTCACCCCTCTTCTTGCGATAACTCAAGGTGAATAGGTTTATGTGTTTAAGTCTTTCAGGATATGCCTTCCGCCTTGGCCCCATAGCCAATTTTGTTGCAGTTGCTTGTATTTTTGAGGGAGACTAGAGTCTCTGTTGAGTGGTGGGGGGCCGCCGTATTGAAGACCTCTGGATGCGGCCACACGTAGGACTCGAAGTTGGTGAGGAAGAGTTCGGGGGTGAGGGTGCCAAGCTGCCAACACAGAAAGCGCAAAGTGGCGTTCGCCCCGGGTGCCATGCCTTTGTAGTTGGAGCTGGTGTTCAGGGTGTGGGAGAAGTTGAGCCCCAAACAATTCTCCGTGGAACTCCGGTGATAGCATGGTTGCCCAACATGTACTGGAAGTTGGTCGTACCTGCTTCATATTTACTGATACGCATCACTTTGAACTGCTGATGAAACCAGTTTACCTCTTCCAATCCCTGTTTTTGTAGGCACCTGCTGGTAAGTATTAGGCGTTACTTGAAAAGCGCTAGGAGTAGGATGAATGAGGAAGTAGAAAAAAGGGGTGAGAAGTGTTCATGGGAAGATAAATGTTGCTGGTAATAATATAGAGACGGATGGGTCCCATTGCAGGTACTAGGATTAGAGAGTGTGGGGATGGGTGAGGAGGCCTTAAACTGCCGCCGACGAATTTTCGTGGTAAACTGTTTACGCTCATGTACTCACGCAGCAGTCGTTTGAATGTTAGCTGGGGTGGGTGTGGCTATTTCCTTCGGTGTGGTGTTCCATTAGGCACGCGCTGCGCTAGAAAAAGCTAGATATCACGCTTTCCCTTGTCCCATGATGGGGTATACTGGTGGGGTTCGTGGGAGACTACCGGCTTCAGGTCAGTGGTGGTGACCCGTCGGGGTGGCCCACTTGGTGAATGATCTTGTAGGCTGTTGGGTCACCTCTTTTTCCTCTATAGCTTAATGTCGAGTTACCAAGGTCGTAATGCATATGTTTTGCCTGTTAGTGCTGCAGCCGACCCCTCTGCTTTTCTCTGTACCTTCCAATATCCAGTACCTTACTACCACCTTGTGTAAACCGGTCGATTTCTTTGTGATTGTTTCTAGACTTCATGCAGCGGTCCCAAATGCAACGTATCGCAAACCTTACTGGTTACAATAACCATGTTTATATTCCCCCTTTCCAAAATACGGTACAGAGGTAGCAGAAATGGAACCATCCTGGTAGTCCGCTTGAATTTTGGGCTGCCAAAAGGTTTTCATTACATATTGCTTCAAATTACTTCCTTCGTACTTGTTTCAACCATTCAAATGTCGACAAATAGTAAGACGTACTCTTGAGAATTCGCAAAATGTCTTCAACTTATCGTTGTACAAGTCAACAACAAAGGTGCAAAGAAATGCCATGGTGGATGGCAGTGATCTCTTTCGTACACAAACGTTCAACGCACAAGTATTTGGGAACGGTTGGCTCGCCTCCTTCACCACTGAACCTACGGGTGCTCACCTTTTCGTCCTCATACAACAGCGTGCTCGTGAATCAGACAGTGACCTGAAAACTATGGGCTGCTGTATGTTACGGCATATCACATTTTGCAAATGCAGAGACTTTCCGCGTTTAGGTAGATTCTTGGCAGTTTTGGTGCGCACGCAACATGGCCTATTGCATTGTTGCCCGGTCAAAATATTATTCGATCACATTTAAACGCTTGGTTTGAAGAAGTCGTTTGTTTGTTTTTCACTGCAAGCAACTTCTGATACAGTTTGTAAAGGTTTCTTATAGTCTTTTGTTTTCTAACTCACGCGTCATCTGTATTATCAAGTTTGTTTCCAGTCTCTGCTGTATAGTGAACCCATAGTGTCGATACAGTGTCCGTGTTCGGGTAGGGCACCACTTCACAGTGGCCTCTGGTATGTAGTAACGACAACTGCACGAAAAAGGATGCAACTCCGTTCTGGGGTTGCCAGCGTCAAGATCGCTGAACTAGGCTTTAGTAAGCCTTGCACACCTGACTCTTTGAAGTGGCAGATAATTAGGCCTGAACTATATGCCAAAAAGCCAGTAAACGGCATCAAACCAACTGTCTGCACCCCACGGAAGAAACATAAAATAGGGCTTGCTCGTGTGTCTGTAATCATCCACGAAGTGGAAGAAAGTAGAGACCCAGAGTCAGATGGCCATCTTCAACAGTACTTTAGCAAGGCACAGAGTTTGATGAACAGGCTCTTACGGGAAAAACGCCAGTGGTCGCCATACTCAAGGTACGTGCGGTGAGAAAAAAGGAAACGGACCACGCAGAAACAGGTTTCCTCTACTTGAAGTCATGTTCAAACTCACAAAACAGAGGGGTCAGATTCTGGAGAACACACTTGCTGACAGAATCAAAAAGTAAGAAACAGAAGAAGAGCTGAGATCAAGATCAGAAGCAGGAGAGGAAAATCTAAAATAAGTGGATTTTCTTGTCACGAGGTCTCAGTAACGAATAAATAAATATTTTATTCTCAAATTAACGGTTTAACATGAGAGAAGCCAGTTCACAGGCATCATAAAATTGATAGTCGTAAAGAAATCTCCAGTAGTTGAGCTGCCTTGAATGATATAGAAGGTATCGCACCACGGTTTATAATGATATTAAAGGCGACTACATGTTATGAAAAAAACAGAAAAGTATCGATTCACAGTACATTCAGACTCTTTATGAGTTTCGGTTTTCTCCACTCACGATTCTTTTTACACGACAAAGTGATGCCAAAACCGTACAACACTCGACATTTGCCTTACATGTGACCCAGACCCACACGGTATACTCACTTCATCGACTTCACGTAACAGTACTGATAATAATAATATATTTCATGCGACATAAGTTACATGCAACCAAACCAGTTTACAGGTTTGATCATTTTGGTGATGTGAACTGACTGTTATGTACAATATCAAGCTATACAATAGACACCGTACATTTCGGTACGTAAAAGATGCTTCTAGAGTAAGAACGTTAATGTTTTGCAGACAGAAAAGAATGAAAAAGATGAACGCCAGTGTAGCGTGACACACTTCCCCAAAATCAATAGCCTAGGGTTTGACGACTTCGACATTGATACTGACCTTGATAGTTTAACTGGACTCGCCAAGCTGAAGGCACCCGGTCAAGCATCCTGGCCATTTGGCACGCTGTCGTGTTACGTTGCACTGCTCGTATTCGACTCTCTAGCTAGTTAGTTGGAACGCATCGGTATTTTGGCACAACCATCCAAATATACTATTCCATCCGACTACGCTATCGTGTTCTTCCTTGGTCTCGTATTCGTGGGTATATAACAAGTTCGAATAATTAGTGATTGGTCTTTGCGTCTGTCAAGTTCGCACCAGGACAAATCCTAAATTGGTGAGCCCGACGTGATCACATATCCCGACCAACAACAAATATTGAATTGGTGAGCCTGTTCCATTTTATATTTGTTTATTGTTTTCATTTCGATAACATTTATATATCCATTTACTACACTTTCTCATGTCCGACCACATTCCCAAGCTTATTCGTATTAAGCCGACTGCGAACACGATCCAACTCGTGCCATATTGGCCAGACAATGCAGAAACATGGTTTCTGTATGCCGAGGCCGATTTTCGAGAACAGGGTGTCTCAGATCCTCATTCTCGATTTCTTGCTGTCATACGGTCACTACCGCGAGAATTAAACAGGCATGTTACAGCAAACATGTTTAATCCTGAAGTAAGTGACCCTTATGCACTTCTAAAGGCCGCACTCTTGAAGAAAAGCGATCTCACAGATCGCCAACGTCTAGACGAATTGCTTCGTAACATCGAGCTAGGCAGCCACTCAGCTACTGAAGTCCTCGCACGCATGCGAGAAGTAATCGGTGCACGAACATTTGACGATGGTTTCTTCCGAGAACTATTTCTCTCGAAACTACCACAACCGGTGCAAACCGTGTTGGTGACACTGCAGTCAGTCCCACTCGACGACCTGGCAGCCTCAGCAGATAAAATACTGGAGATATCCAGCAGACCCGTCTCCAACGTATATTCTATCTGTGACAAACCAGAGCGCCAGGATTCAGAGGTGACCAAGTTGTGCAACTCTGTGAAACGGTTGCTACGATCTCGAAGTCCTAGATCACGTAGCACTTCACAGAAACGCACCTTGGCGCATCGCAGCAAGTCGCGTGGTAGCCCTAAAACGAAACCCAACAGGGTGGAAAACCCTGAATGGTGCTGGTTTCATAACACTTACGGGGATGAAGCCAGAAAATGTCGTAAACCATGCCGTTTTAAGAAGGACACAAACTCGGGAAACGGTCACGCCGGCACGTGCTCACGGCAACCGTAGCCGGCGGAAAAAGCCGTTTGCTCTACGTCACCGACATTAAAACGAAAGTCCGCTACCTCGTCGACACCGGCGCAGAAGTTAGCGTTCTTCCAGCAACGACAAAGGAGCGTCATCTCGACCCATCCTTCAATCTTCAAGCAGCCAACGGCAAGGCAATCGCGACATTCGGGAGACGGTATGCCTACCTCAACTTAGGTTTACGCAAACCTATCCACTGGATCTTCCTCCTGGCTGACGTCTCTATGCCCATCATTGGCATAGATTTGCTAAACCATTACGATCTACTCGTAGATGCTCGCCGTCGACGACTGATAGATAACAACACAAAGTTATCTATTGGCGGCACCACCTATGTAGGTCCGAGTTTAGCCATCGTTAGGACTAAACAATCAGGCGACGCGTCCTACCAGGCAGTTCTGGAGAAATATCCAGAGTTACAACAACCGAAGCACACTCTTCCGTGCATAACCAGCAATGTTATGCATCACGTCACAACCACAGGTCCACCTGTGGCATCCAAAGCGCGCCGTTTAGCCCCCGATAAGCTCCAAACGGCGAAAAATGAATTCGACCACATGCTCGAACTGGGCATTATCAGACCGTCAAACAGTCCTTGGGCATCGCCATTGCACATGGTTCCCAAAAAGGATAGCAACGACTGGCGTCCAACCGGTGATTACCGAAGGCTTAACGCCAAAACAACTCCGGACTGCTACCCTATACCTCACGTTTACGACTTGACCGCAACCTTATGCGGCATGAACATTTTCTCGAAAATCGACTTGGTCAAAGCGTACAACCAGATACCTATGGCAGCAGAAGATATCGCGAAAACAGCCATTATTACTCCTTTTGGCCTGTTTGAATTCCTGCGCATGCCTTTTGGTCTTCGGAATGCAGCACAAACATTCCAACGCTTTATGGACGACGTCTTCCGTGGTCTGAATTTTGTTCATGTCTACATCGATGACTGTCTAATTGCGAGTCCAGATAAGGAAACACACCTTAAACATTTGGACCTCGCATTCGAAAGACTCAAAAAACATGGCATCACAGTTAACTTACAGAAGTGTGAAATAGGAGTTGAATCACTCAGCTTCCTTGGGCATACCATTGACAACAAAGGTATACGCCCATTGAGAGATAAAGTGGCGGCTATCACAAACTATCCAGAGCCGACCACTGTGAAACATCTCCGCACTTTCAATGGCCTGGTAAGTTATTACCGAAGGTTTATCCCTAACTGTGCCTCTGTCATGAGACCACTCACAGATCTACTTCGAGGAACTGCGAAGTTCGTGTCTCTGGACAACGCGGCTAGACTTGCTTTCTCTAAAGTCAAGGAAGCCATTTCGAACGCAACCATGCTTATGCATCATGACCCCAATGCTCCTCTGAGTATTGCTGTTGATGCATCTGATTCAGCAATTGGAGCAGTTTTGCAACAGTTGACTGACAACCAGTGGCAACCGTTAGCCTTTTTCTCGAGGCGGCTGCAAGACGCGGAAACAAGATACAGTACATTTGGTAGGGAACTCCTAGCCATGTACTGTTCTGTACGCCATTTTCGACATTCTGTGGAAGGTCGTGATTTCATTATTTTCACAGACCACAAACCGTTAACGTTTTCCCTCAGCTCGGCGTCTGACAAATACTCCCCTCGTGAGTCGCGACAGCTGGATTACATTTCCCAGTTCACGTCAGACATCCGCCACATTTCTGGAGCAAACAACTCCGCAGCCGACGCACTATCTCGAATAGCTTCGATAAACTATATCGAGGGTATTGATCTCGTTGAACTAGCTCGGCGTCAAAAGGAAGACCTTGAGCTGCATCATGAGTTGTCGTCCACAACTCTCAAACTGCGACTTTGTCCTGTTGGATCAGACAAGGATGCAATTTTGTGCGATGTCTCTGCTAGTCAACCACGCCCAATAGTTCCGAAGAGTTGTCGACGCAACGTCTTCAATACGTTGCACAAACTCTCTCATCCAGGTGTACGAGCCACCATTAGGCTTATCGCACAACGTTTCTGCTGGCCTGGGATGAACAAAGACGTTAAGGAGTGGGCCCAGTCGTGCTTAGCTTGTCAAAAGTGTAAAGTCACGCGACACACGAAAAGCCCTTTAGGCTCATTTCTAGCCCCAGACATGCGTTTCGACCACGTCCATATAGATATTGTAGGACCCCTACCAGAATCTAATGGATGTACCTACCTTTTCACCTGTGTTGATCGTTTCACACGATGGCCGGAAGCAGTACCCATTAAAGATATTACTGCCGAAACAGTTGCTCGTGTTTTCGTCGAAAGATGGATCGCGAACTTCGGATGTCCATCCTACGTCACAACCGACCGTGGGCGCCAATTTGAGTGCGGACTATTTCACGCTCTAACGGCACTTTTAGGTTGCACTCGGTTCCGAACGACAGCCTACCATCCACAAGCAAATGGCATGGTAGAGCGTTTCCATCGACAGCTGAAAGCTTCCCTTTCAGCTACAAACATACCTCAGTGGACCGAGGCTCTGCCTCTAGTCCTACTAGGTATTCGTAACGCGTTGAAAGTTGATGCTGGATGCACTCCTGCAGAACTCGTCTATGGGACCACTCTTCGCCTACCAGGTGAGTTTGTTTCCCCTTCAACTTTCAAACATGTTTCCGACAGGGCATCTTACGTGACTAGGCTTACAAACGCAATGCGTTCAGTTAGGCCTTCTCCGATTAGACCGCAAACGACTGATGTTTTCGTCCACCCCAGTTTACAGAAGACATCACACGTGTTTGTTCGCCACGACGCTGTTCGTCGACCACTTGAACCACCCTACGACGGGCCGTTCAAAGTGATTAAGCGACATGAGAAATTCTATATAATTGAGCGAGACGGACGTGAAGATACTGTCAGTATCGACCGTTTGAAACCAGCTTATTTCGAAGGCAACCCCATTATAAGTGACGTTTCAGCTCGCTACATCCGACCGACGGATGACTCAATTATCGAAATTCTCGACGATGTGCCTGGTAATGCACAGCTGCAACAACCATCGGCGCAACAAAAAACACGATCAGGTCGAACCGTCAGGTTCCCAGAGTACCTGAAGTCATATTCAACTTAGCTGTGTGTGCCAACCATTTTTTTTTCGAGGCACTATTTTTCTTATTTACCGGCAATGCACAAACCCTCGTACACTTTGCCTTTTTATATCAATTTTTATTACCATGTAATAAAAACTAAAAAAACGGCGAAGATAAGCGTAAATTTTTATTTTTCGATATGTTTATATATAAATAATTCCCATTTTTACGCAACGTTTTCGTGGTATTAAAGACTTTTATTTATATTCCAGGTGCAACGAGCACTGGACGGAACGTCGAAAGGAACAGATGACCGCGACCGACGTACAATTTCATTTATTGTATTTTATTTATTTAATCGCCACGACACCCTAGAATAAGGTTCAGACAACCAGGGGCCACCTCACGCAGTGAGCCCATCGGAAGAGTTTTACCAGTGGAGAAACCACTGGGTTTTTACTTCCGGCTGGTATCGTCTTAGGGTCCTCACGAACCCACTAGGGGGGGGGTGATCTGTAGCGTCACACACTTCCCCAAAATCAATAGCCTAGGGTTTGACGACTTCGACATTGATGCTGACCTTGATAGTTTAACTGGACTCGCTAAGCTGAAGGCACCCGGTCAAGCATCCTCGCCATTTGGCACGCTGTCGTGTTACGTTGCATTGCTCGTATTCGACTCTCTAGCCAGTTAGTTGGAACGCATCGGTATTTTGGCATAACCATCCAAATATACTATTCCATCCGACTACGCTATCGTGTTCTTCCTTGGTCTCGTATTCGTGGATGTATAACAAGTCCGAATAATCAGTGGTTGGTCTTTGCATCTGTCAAGTTCGCACTAGGAGAAATCGGAAACCATGATAATTTTTCATCATCCTTAGGCAAGCTCAGTTCGAAAGTGAGAAATATTCTGTTATTTTTTGTATCTTCTATCGTTCTTGAATTTAGGGAGGGTAGTACAACTGTGGCCTTTGGCTTTATGCTTTCGTCATAAGGTCCAGATGGCATAGTGCACGCTGACAAACCAGGCCGCTGCGATTCCATATGGACGAAGGACTGGTTGTGTAAACCTGAAAAATGAATAACAGAAGCGAGCAGCAGACGAAATCTGAAACAGGAGCACAGAAGTTCTACACAGAAGTACATAAATCGTGATACATGTAGGTGAGTCCATTGTACTGACTGCAAAAGTTACTTGAAGAGGTATCCGAAACCTACCGTTTATAGATAAGCTTATGAGGAAGAAGATGAAGGTGCATAGAAATGTAGTGGAAACTAAACTGAAGCCAAAGATATCACTATGGAATGGAGAGAATAGGAGATTTTGGACGAGGTTTTCGCTTATGTGTTGAAAACCTATGTACAAAAGTTTAATCAAGTTATAAACATTCAAATAGAACCGACGCTTTTTGCTGTACTGATAACCACACTTTATATAGTCACGGGTAGGGATGATCATGGTGTTGTCTGTTGAGTGTTACCATATCAGGATTACAGAGACAATATGGCGGTGCATGGTGAGCTGAGCAGCAGACCTGGAGGACTTTTTTTGGTAACCTCATTCTTTTTGCCATTATTTTGTCGTCATAAGTACGAGGGCCGTAGGTTTCATAAAGATACCGCCATAGGGGCAAGGGTAGCTCACGTTTATCTTCCTACCATCACGCCTCTTGGTCAGTTATCTCCGTCTTCGCAAATTTTCACGTTATTTTTTTGATGTT